CCAAAAAAAAAGTCGTTTGTTCAGAATGCCAAAATAATCGTTTTGGCAAAGCTTGGTTCAAATCGATGGCATTGACCACAGGTGGTGTATACGGTTCTATAACATTCCCCAGAAAACCATTCCCCAGAAAGCCTTTCCCTAGAATGCACCATTCCCCAGAAAAGATGATGAAATTAGTAATTTTCACTTATCTTTTTTTTTACTATCGATAATACACTATGTTTACTTTTATGGAACTATGTATTTATCAACTCCAAACCATTTTTTAGCTCTTTATAAAATAACAACCTTCAAGTTTTCGAGCACTTCGTTCATGCATGAGCATGAGCATGATTGACCGCCCACGGTTGCTACTCTGTTATTGCCAGATCAGCTGTAATTACACAGAGAACGAATAGACGATGCTTGGGACTAGCAATCATCCTCAATGTGTAAAAACTGGTGATCTCAAATTAGGCAATACCAGCGCCAGCCGCGCCTGAACGCAGGTCAAGAAAGGAATGGGTAGGAATGTGTTGACGTGACACTCGCTTTGATGGAAGCCGAGAAATCCTCTGCACTTCCACGAGGAGTCACTGGGATGTTGGGTAAGAGGGTAGGGTTTGCAGCAAGGTTCGTTTTGGTAAACGATAAGCTGAATTTTTGTTTGAACCATAGGGAGGGGTTACTGTATAAATAAATAAAAAATAATGATCTCTGCCAAATAACCAAGTGGAGCTGCACCAACAGCAACCGGCCAAATTCATATTATATTATAATAAAATAAAAGGTAAATAACAATGATAAGCTATTTGATACACCTTCTGGTCCTTCAGGATCTGCAGGACAACTATTTTCTAGAAATGAAAATTTTAGTTATAATGATATAATGAGATTTTAAATATGTGAAATAAAAGTAATTTACTAGTCATGCAATATATAAAAGAATGTAAAATAGACAAGTATTACAAAATACAAATAAGCTCGATTTCAGTTAACCTCAATACATTCAACTGATTTCAACTTCTGATATTTTATTGGAATTGAAACAAACACTTTATTATGCACCATGGAATTTCTTAACGCAATATGGAATGCTTTTAAAAATATTGCTTATCTTTCATAATGCATCAATAGTTAGAAAAATCGAGGTTATTTGGACAGTTAACAGTTTTAATGCAATGGATATCATGCATTCCAATGTTTTTTTATATTTTCCTGAACGAAGGCTGGAAATAGTGAATCATTATAATATTAATCCAAAAATGTCGAAGAGCTGAAAATAAACTTAAAGTTTTCAATCAATAAGTCCAGCCTAAACGGAGGGCTTGCGTACACAATAAGCTTCCTCATCACTCATATTCAGAACTTGATTAAATAAGTATTTACAAATATACAAATAAATATATCAATAAGTAATGTAACTTTCTATCATGGAGAGGAAAAATAAAATGGTTAATTGCACTGTCATATAAACGTTAAACATACATTAGATAAAATCAAATGATGTTACGTTGCCTCTTCCAGTTGTGTTTTGACCCTGTTATAAATATTTATCATTGAATATATAATAATAATATAATAGGACCTGGAATTTATTCAAACTCAAACTCCATGGTGGTGCCCTGTACACAAGAGTAAGCCTCTACTACCGACAATCTTTCAAACCCGGAGACAAAAAAGCTACGAAAAAGCGCTTATGCCTTCATTAAATTCTACTTTTACGCGACGTTCGTTGTTTGGATTTGGACCTTACGTAAGACGGGTACCGAATCCATAAAACTTTCACATTTTTGAGCTACCGTGCCCCTTACTTCACTAAGTAAACTACGACTGACGCGACAATTTTACCAAATATTGCACATCTTTTAAGCTATCTCGAACGAGCACTTCGTTCATCATTTAATAAGTCAAAGGGTCTATTATGCAATCCAATTCCACCAGTCGGAAACTGTTAAACCTTATCAAAGAATTGTTCGACCGGAGTTGAAGAAATTCTCGTGATGGATTAAAAAAATCGGTGCATGGAACGTTGAACTACCGATTACAAATTTATAACATTATTCCACTCGTTATTATCCCAAATGGTCATTACCCCGAATCCCTTGCGAAAAGCTATTGATTATATATTTTCCCTATATATTAAAAGAAGGGAATATTCCCTTCTTTATCATACACAGCTAAAAAAGGTAGTGTAAATTTCCGTTACTATGATGCACATAAATGGAGCGTCATATATCATACAAGTTTAGATTATAGATCGTGTAAATTTATGAGACATGTCATGCAATATTCCATATATTGTATGCAACTGTCCACTTTTGTTTGCAACATTTCTTGCAAGCGCCTAGTTTACGTGAAAAGGAAGTTTACATGTATGAATGTTTGCATGCATAGATGTTTACATCGCCAGTAAAATTCAGAATTTTTTGGTGTGTACATCCAAAGAATTAATTATTTTCTCTTTTATATATTCAAAGAAGGGAATATTCCCTTCTTTATCGTTTATCAAAAGAATTAATTATTTCCTTTTCTTATATTTTCAAAGAAAGGAAAACGCCTTGATCCATTAAGAAAATTTTCTATTCTTTTTATATACGCGAAAGAAGATTCCAGGAGTGACTATAATAAACAAAAATAGTCAATCTAATACATGGCATACTTTTCTGGGGAATGGTGCATTCTGGGGAATGGTTTTCTGAGGAATGGTTTCCGGGGGAATGGTTTTCTGGGGAATGTTATAGAACCGGTGTATACACTTGAGCTGGAATGACCCACATGTATACTAGCGCCGCGTAGTGAGAAAATGTCCACCAGGCAAAAAGTCTTGACCCCTGAACAAATTTGCAGAAGACATTTACTTTCTGTCTGGTCAGGATCGCGAGTTATTTCATGTGTCAGAATTACACATGTATACTAGCGCCGCGTTGAAAGAAAAATCTGCACTACTGTCCACGAGCCAAAAGGCCGTGACTTCCTCAACTACTTTGCGGAAGACGATACATTTCTATCTGGTCAGAATCTCGAGATATTTTATATGCGAGAATTTCACCGCGTAGAGAGAAAATTCTGAACTATTGTACACGAAGCAATAGGCTTTGACCTCCTGAACAACTTTGTCGAGGACAGAGAGATATTTCATATTGTAACCAATTAAGTCAAATCCCACGTAGTATGGACACTAGACTGATGCAAAATTTGACTTTTCGCTCCACAGTGCTTAAATGGTTTCAAATCGGGTCCCTGATTAGCCTCTCAAAGTTACAACTCATTTGGTTAGAAACAGGCTTCGCACAAGCCATTTGAAGTTTACATGTAAATTACTATGGGAAATCTCAATTTTTTGTTCATTGCCTTCTAGTCTTTTGCCATATTGAGCTCTGTTTCGATAGCCATTCTTATAGAAAATTTTCTCAGCTAAACCTTTGCCGAAAATCGTTTCTATGTAAAACGAGACAGGAAAAAGTTATTAATTATTTAAGAGATTGGTAAACTTATGACATGATCAAGCAGCTGCTCTGTAGGCAACACTGTATTTTGCAGTGTGACCTAGTAGCCATGACTTTTGTGTCCTATTCAACGCCCCAGAAACACCAATGTTGCCTGCTGAGCAGTTGATTGAGCATGATCATAAGACATCAGCGCATTGAACCATTGATAACTTTCGATCCTTGCATTTAATCGAAAAGTGGTCTTGAGCAAAGTTGTAGCTGGGAAAATTTCCTACAAATACAGTTGAAAGCTTTTGAAGCAGACCGATATGGTGAATTATTAGATAGACATGAACAAAAATCTTGGTTTTACTATAGTAATTCCCATACAAACTTCAGATGGTTTGTGCCATCTCAGTTTCTCACCAAATGGGTTCAAATTTTGAGAGATTAGTCAGGATCCGATTTGGAATCGTTTAAGTATTGTGGAGCGAAAATTTCAAATTTTGCATCACTCTAATGGACACTCTGTTATGCGGTTTCCATTTACATATTTGTTTATTTGGCTCTACATCAACGGACTGGGTTTAGTCCTAATGATGGATTATGCAATACTAGGAAATACAATAAAGTCAAGAAATGACAAGCTGCAAAGGCCGTGAAGTCCAACTTAATTCCTAATACTTAAACATATATCACGGAATCTCTGACGCAGCGTCTCGCGTGCCAAGTGACAATCAAATAAGGAAGCCCATTGATAGCACCATACGAACTATAGTTTGAACGACGAAAAGGTATCCTCAGCATTGCGTTGTTACGGAGTGCTCGTGGTTGAACGTTAACGTCGATTTGTTGTAGAATAAAAGGACAATCGATTCTGCCCTGTAGAATGTCTGCCACAAACAGGACCCTTGTCGTATCTCTTCGACTCCACAAAGGATCCAGGTGAATTAACTGGCACCGACTTTCGTAGCTTGGAAGGCGATGAGGATCCCTCCAAGGCATTCGTCGAAGGGCAAACCAGATGAATCGTCGTTGAATAGACTCTACTCTTTGTACACTGTTTTGGTAAATGGGATTCCATACAGGGCAGCAGTATTCTAACACCGACCGGACGAGGGAGCAGTAAAGCGACTTCAAACAGTAGATGTCCGGGAAACTTTTAGCTATCCTGAAAATGAAGCCGAGCGTTCTGGATGCCTTGTCGATCACGTACGAGATATGCTGGCGGTATGTGAGTTGACAATCTAAGATGACTCCCAGATCCTTAATGTGATTCACACGATGTACGTCAACACTTTCTAGGATATAACTGAATGTAATTGGATGCTTCTTCCGTGGGAACGTAATTACTGAACATTTTGTTGGATTCACAACCATGCGGTTCAGTTGGCACCAATTAGCAAAAGCGTTGAGTTGGAGTCGGAGAAGTCATCTGCGAACGACAGTCGTGGACCGTCGAGGACAAAATTGACGTCGTTGAAATACACAAGAAATATCAACGGGCCGAGGTGGCTACCTTGCGGAATACCCGAAGTGGCAGGGAACGAAGGAGGTCGTCAGTCGTCGATTGCAACTTCCAACTGACGATCAGATAGATAGGATGCGAACCATCGTTGGAGACTGCCGTAGTTTGGCGATCGCTATAGGATGGTTCAACTTGTCGAAGGCGGCTGATAGGTCAGTGTAGATGACATCTGTTTGCATATGGTCTGTCATACTCTCCGTAATGTACGAGGTGAGACACAGAAGGTTGGAAGTAGTCGACCGCCTTGCTATGAAACCATGCTGGTCTTCGCTCAAGTGATGCTTGAAGTGGGAGGCTGATGGTTCCATAATGACCAACTCGAACAGTTTAGATATGACACATAACGATGTGATGCCGCGATGGTTGTCGATGTTTCTTTTGCATCCCTTGTTATGCACTGGAAACATCTCAGCTGATTTCCAGCAGGAAGGAAACACCCCACTGGAGAGGGACATTTCGAACAGAAGGCAGAGAGGAGCCACCAGGCTATCGATGTGTTGCTTGAGAAAGACGGATGGAACTCCGTCAGGTCCAGGTTTAAATGAAGACTTCAGTTGCGAAGCCGCCCTATAGCGAGGTTGATGTTAATAGCTGCCAAAGATTGACCAGACATTGGAAAATTACTGGCTACTAGAGAAATGTGCTGGCAGCTTCTGAAGCTTCTTCGCCGTTCAGTACCATAGTCGATGGAAGGCCAGACTCCTTTCGTTGCTCATTCACATAATTCCAAAAAGATTTCGGGTGAGATCGAAGATTCCGTTGAACATCTCGGATAACGCCGATAACATTGACGATTGTAATAAAAGTTTAACTCGGCAGTAAAATGACAATGGAAAACTCACACTGTTGTACAAAGTACAACGCGCGAGTACTCGTGTTACAAAAGTTGGCGCGAGATACAAAAGGTTAAAAAAATCAGGACATCGTAGAAAACTTTGAGGTGCCTAGTAGAGGTTCAGGATAATTAGGCGAATTGTTTTATACTACTCTTTTTTCATTCAGATAAATTTCTAAACAAGTTTATAATTCTAGGCGATTTTTGCGATCTAGATCACAATGGATCAATGAAAATCTCATTTTACGTTAGTGATTTTCATTTTCAACGTGTCCGTGTTCAACAACATTTACGAACAATTTTGCTTAGGAAAGTATATGATTATGTCTGAAAGTAGATTTTAGACTGCTGATATCGTGTTGAGTTTTTCCTAAATAATATTATGAAGTATTCCCAGAAACATATTTAAAATTTAATTGAAATAGGACCTCCAATCCAAGTAGCGCTGCGCTCGAGCAGAAGAGGAAGCAACGCCTAGAAATAGAAGCAAATACGCAAACCTGTCTTCTAAGATTGAAATCTGAACATCTTGGCTAAAAAGTAGAAGGGTCTGTGCCTAGGGGCACGAACGGAAGCTTGACGTAGGACCCCTAGTGGACGGAACAAATGTGAACATTTAGTTCTTTTAATCGATCAATCATCGATTAGGGGAGAACAGTACATAACGCACCCCCGGGGTAAGACGCACTTTTTCATTTTATTTTGAGTTTTTCTTGGAATTTTAAGTCCAATTCTAGGATTTATCATGCAGGATTTTGAGTTCAGATACTATGCTAGAAGTGCTGCTTGATAAGACAACAAAAAAGTTACTTAAAAGCCATGAAAAACACAAATGAAAGTCAGCTGGTGCGTTCTGCCCAGGGGGTGCGTTCTATACCATTCTCCCCTATCTCAACTCTTTCCGTTTTTTATTTGTAAGCGTATCAAATTTGTAGTATTTATTTCAAAGAGAAAGTTGATGAAGAGAATCCAAGTATTTTCAATTCATCTACCCGACTTTAAAAGGTGTATTTTGAATTTTTTGTTACTTATGAATTTTTAAGTTTTGTGGATTTTGGTATTAAAGTGTATTCAATTCACCCCTCACAGGATTTCCTTCCGAATTATATGAATGGGGCGGGCGGAAAGTATCGTTTGTGCAGAATATGCAAAAAAGGAGAGACTTCGAGAGATTGAACTCGTGAGAGCTAATTTGATTTTATTGGCTTTCTGGGGACTGAATATACACCCAAAGCGAATTATTCCCACTTCTCTCAAATTCTATATGGATTTTTAACACTTCCTACCAGCGTGTTCTGGAAAATGGTCGGACGTTGATAGATCTCACCAATAGATTCGGGCCTACAATTCCACACCTTCTTAGATACCAGGTTGAGCCTTGATAGCTAGCTGCTTGCGGGAACTGATGACCTTGACTAATGTCCAAATAATACTCTTAACAAATTTATGGTGGTCCTGAAAAGGACCGTTTTGTAGTGATGGTTGAGTAATGCTTAGCTGAGCACGACGAGCTACTGATTTCAATCCTAGCCTAGCGGTGGGACTTCTTCCTCCTTCTCTATGGTTGCTCATATGAGCTCTGCAGCTCGCTGCTTGCAGGCAGCCTTTCGTTGTTGTTGTTGAAAGCACTCCTGCTGCTGCTGCTACTACTGCTGCTGCTGGACTGGACACCACCACTTACGGTGATTGAATGAGCACCGTTCAGTGGGACCGCATCGAATTCGATTTTTAAGTCTGTGTTGAATGCGCTGTTTTCAGACATTCGGTGATAGTTTTGATCACCAATGCAACAGTTGGACATTTGGTATTTTTCAATAGTGACCTATTGAAAATTAACTAAGTGTTCATTTTAGCAGATTGGTAGATAAATTTCCAATCGTTTGGCTTGTGTAGAATTAAAATCTATCTGCTATTGGTCGAAACCTGACCTCTTTTCGTAATGCTGTGCATTTTGGTTTTTTGAAATTGCGTGGATTCTATAGATCCTGTGGAGTCTAGCCCTGATGTATGTGTTGGTAGAGGGAAAAATGTAAACTTTGCGGGAGACGATGTCTTAAAACTCGAAAGCAATTTTGTGAAATATGAAGTAAAACAAATCTTAGCTAGTTCTGCATGATGATTTTGTTTGATTTTATTTATTTGTAAAGTCGCCGGGAAATATCAGCTGGCGATTTGTTTTTTTTATGATAACTCCTTACTTGAAAACAGGCAAAAACTCACAAACAGGTTGCTTTTTCATGGTATACAGTGTGATAATTTAATAATCAATAAATTATCTCAACATTTAGTGGCAAACCATTCATAAATTTTGGTGACATACAAAAAATTCTATAGTCCACATTAAATTTCATAGGGGAATTTACGTATTCTCGTCAATCTAAGCAGCGTCCTAACTTCTATTAGCGATTTCTCAGCGTCTTACACATACATGACAGGTTTGTTTGTTGACATTTATTTGCTGCTTGCTGTTCTACCAATTCCAATCGACAGAATTGATCAAAACGGGTTGAACATGTTTTTACAACGCCCCAAACTTCTCAGGTGAGTGTGACTATTGTCGGCAGTCTCTTTTTCTTCGGCATCCTTTCCATTTGAACTGCGTGTTAACCAGCTGTTCTATTATCGGCAACTCGAAATCAGCCGTATTTTGTAATTGTAATTGTAATTGTAATTGTTCAGTGCATAGGCTGTGCCTTCCGCTAAGAAGGCTTATCTAGGGACCAACCCCCTAGTCTATACACCTACTGTCCTTCCCGTTGCACTCGTCAGCTCGTGCGATACTCTAGACACACATGGGTGGTCGTATCCGGGTCCTCCCCTGGGTAGGCTCGTGTCCGTCCAGGTTCTGGTACATTAACTTATGCATGGTAATTATACTTTTAAAACTCACCTTTTGATTATAATGTCGAAAATGCTGAAACTAAATAAAGGTTAGCGATCCATATAAGGTGTGTGCTGCGACGGAGTAGTAATTGAAGGAAATGAGGTTCTGATGTGAAGTATAGGTAATTCTAAAATAGGTAAATCAATTAATCATTAGCTGCTAACAGTTACTATTTAGGGTACGATAAATCACTCATCAATGAGTATTGCCACTCCCACTGAAAAATGGGCAAAACCTTAATCATAAATGGATATTCGATTCCTACCGTGTATTTAAAGTAAAGTTAGGATCTTATCAAGCAAGCACACACGATTCTTATCCTACTTACGGTTTCCTGCACATACGACTTTTCCTAGATACAAGCTTCGTCCAGTATACATTGGCTGTCTCCAACCGGCATGATCCTTTCTGTCTGTTTCCTCTTGCCGGTGCAAGTTTAATTCTTCTTTTCTTGTTCGTTTCTGGTTTCTGGTCGTGTTCCCATTTGTCCTCAGGCAGTTAATATTAGTACATGATAGGAAGAAAGAAAGAAATAGAACAAGTTAAGTGTGAGCCGCATGCATTGGTTACTTATTTGGGTCATGGTGTTGTCTTCCCTATTTATTTGCCCTAGTCGCTCTCATATCGAACGTTTAACGCTGGATCAACAATAGAAAAGGGCCCATCAGCATTCGTAAACAAACCGCTCCAAAGCCCCCCACTCACAAAGCGAAGGCCACCCACGCAAACCAACACCATCATCGGATAGGGAAAACTTCCACCTACACGAAGACGGTGTTGGCCCGCGCGAGCAGCCCCCGATCTGTGAGGAATGGGCTCTGGACGGTCTGCCCACAAAAACCGATGGGCCCCCTTCCATTGTTGATCCAGAACTCACCCCCTTCCCTCACACTATTATGGTCGGAAAAGAGAACCCATATTTAGGAATCTATCGCGAACTGCGATGCAGAAGATATTAATAGCAAACTAATCTGGAACTGGTCTAAGACATATGACCCAGTGAGCATTGACACCTCACACTGTTGTGAATGAGCACGGACGCGAGATTTACTAGAGTATTAAATACAAAACGCAAATTCAAAATAAAACTTGACAAGACATCGTCAATCCCCTTATTCTTGGGCAGGGTCTGACGATGTGAATCTGATTTTGATCAGTGAACGGGCCCCATATAGTACATTTTCTCATGAACCTGTCATTTCCAGCCTATCTGAACTATTTAATAAATGGAAACCATAACATGGGTTACGCTTCCCCTAAGCGGGCCCTCCGCATCCTATCTCTGTCTTATCTCAAATGCCAATGGTTTGAATGTATCAATATATACATTGGAAATGACGTTCAATCAAATAAACCCATACCCCACTCACTTGGCCAGGCTTCAGAATCGTCCAGTGGGCAGTGCGCTCTACACTCCAAGTTCCCTTTCTTTCAAATTCACCCCAAATTTGATATTTTACCCCTTTGAGTGTTGATTAATCACAATGAAACATTGTGACAGAGCACGGACTTGAGGTTACTAAAGTATTAAATAATCTAGGTCCTATTTAGGATTATATCTGAAAAATCCAAATTTGGCCAACGCCCACCAACTCGAAATCAGCCGTATTTTGTAGTGTGTATATTGCATTTAAAGAAAAATATGGCATAGCAGGATTGCACAGTTGTAAAAATGTAATCAGGTTGAAGCTGAAAAGGTAATGAATCGGCTTTATACATTCAGCGAAGAGTTTTGATGCTTATGTGGGCTGTGCAGCTCGCTGCTTGCAGGCAGCCTTTCGTTGTTACTGAAGAACAATTTTCAACGCCACACGCCGAAAGCACTGCTACTGCTGCTACTAATTTCGACGACCGAACACCACCACACAGTGGTGTGGTCGTTAGGAGCTCGCTAGGGCCGGTAGAAGGAAACGACCAAATTGTTGGCAAGCTGCTTTATGAAGTGATGCCGAAGATGATACACGTGTGTAACCATGTAGACGTTTTGTACACAGACTTTAGCAAAGCATTTGATCGCGTCGACATATCCATGCTTCTTTTTAAATTGCAAAAGATGAGAATTCAGTCCAAACACCTCAAATGGCTTGAATCATATCTGACCAATCGCGATCAAATAGTAATATTCAAAGGGAAAAATCAACTCCTATTCATGTCACATCGGGAGTCCCACAAGGTCTCATTTAGGACCTCATTTATTCGTGCTATTTTCAAAGATGTATGCTTCATTCTTAAAGAACTTATGCAATTCAATTACCTTTACTAGAAAACGAAACATAAGCAATATAACATCTACCTTAGCACATCAGAATGTTGAAAAGTGTGATAAAGTTAGGGACTTAGGTATTATCTTAGACTCTAAACTTACATTCATTGATCATTATAATACAACTATAAACAGAGCCAACAACATGCTACGATTTATAAAACGCTTCAGCTATAACTTTCATAACATAGTATATTGCTATGTCAGGTAAATACTAGAATATTGCAGCATAGTTAGGTCTCCCTTTTCAATCATAAATGAAGAAAGAATAAATTCGGTACTTCCTTTATCATCTTATTGGCAAACAAGCTTGTTTCCGCGAATAACTTACGAGATTTCGTTAGTAAGTTTCGCGACGATATGTTTAGAGGAAATTTAATTAACGTCTGTTTGTCTGTGGTATGATCCTAGTCCTTATGGCATTGATACTAGAAATATTTAGATATAAAATTAATTTACCTTTCTGAAGACGACACGTATTCGATCTTCTTTCAACTTTAATCCTTAATTATCAGAGTGCGAAAGTATCCCAAAATCCACCTCACTGCCAGCACTGTATGTTGTTTTTTCTCCCCTTCGCTCGTGTTGATTTCTTCCCACAGCACTCACACCAACGTAATCAGCTCAGCAGCCAGCGCACACACAATCTCGACTTTTTGTTACTTTTTTTGCTTCACTTTGTCGCTTTATCTTCTCGGAGAATTGAATGATTATAGGCTTATTCTTCTTTCTGCTAAAATCCTCCACAAAATGCAATATTAAAATATTTTAACGATAAACAAACACGGGTCACGCACGATACTATATCGCCCGATTTTTTTAGATAACTGGATCAAACACTATTCCTCCGTCACAATCGATATCAGACGATGAAAAAAAAAAATACTGCAGCACAAACCACCTATCGGAGGAATCCGAACTTCCGAAACTGGGGCCAAACGGGAAGGAAAAATCTTCCCCCCACACACTCGCACGTGAAGGACGTCTCGGATTTTGCGAAAACGCAACGTAAAACCAGCTACTAGCGCAGAGCAGAGGAATAAAGAAAATCACTCAACGCAGACAGATTATTCCGTAACGCAGCAAATTCACGAAAACACCTTCGGAAATTCCTTCAACACAGCAGAGAACCACTTTCCACCAACCATCCGCACGGACGGACGGACAGACAGACGGACCACGGCCAAAAACGCAAACACCAAAAAGTAAAGAGAACCTTCTAATTTTCGCGAGCTACTAAGCTGACTGACGACTGCAAACTGAAACTGACAGATCGATCGTTCGTTTCTGCTGTGTTCCGATGCGCGTATTAAAAATTGCGGATGCTTTCTGATTTTCCTTTTCGGGTGTAGTAAATCGCATAAGGTTGTCCTTGTCGCTCTCGTGCACGGGAAGCAGAGGAAAAACTTTTTTACCTTTTTGTTTTGGATTCCGCGGTTGTGTGGGTGGTGCGGTTGACAGCTTTTATACGCGCAACTTGCGCATGTTCTAAAATATTGGTACTAAAGTTGACGTTATCAATTAGAAGATCGATAGATGATGGTGGGAATGTTCAGAAGTGCGGTAAGCACACAGCCGTTGAATCCACGGTAACCAGCATAAACACATGAATGAGTAAAAACATACACATTGTTCGGGTTTATCCAGTATTTTACGAGCGCTCATGGCCGCCACAATCTGGTTGAATTTCTGGTAGGGAACATATGATTTAAAGTTTGGCTTGTGTCGTTTATACGTCAAACGACATAACCCAAACATCAAATCGAATGTTCCCTACCAGCTACTCAGCTAGATTGTGGCTGCCATCAGCGCTCGTAAAATGCTGGATACACGAAACGAAAATCAATTATTTTATTCATGTTTCACTTATACATTTTTCCAAAACATCAGCCTTATACATTCCATAAGACAAACCACATAGGTCCTATAAGAATGCATAAAAGGTATGTGTAACCGCTTATACATTTCATTTGACACATCATCTTCATTAACTTTTTGCAAGGTGTCTGCTTCACGGATACGAATTTTGTTCATTTAAAACAAAAATATAAATGTTTATACTCTAATCATATGAATTATTCAAAGTTAATTGAAAGCATGTTTAAAACTAAAATATTTATGTTTGAATTAATTTTAAAAGCATGTTTATTTCAACAATATAGGATTTTATTTCCTTCTTGTTACATTCGTAAAAGTTGCCCCAGCTTTACTCAACCTCAACAGAAAACGGCCATCCATTCAGAATCCATTCCGGATCCTCCTCCGACACCGAACATAGAAAGAAACCGGTATGAGGTTACCAGTGGCAGAAACCTAGGCAGAAAAGGCAAAACGACGCTAATAACACAAATTTGCACCGGTTCCACTGAACTGGAACTCCCGGACCAGGACCCCAATACCCACAGGTCACCCTTAATCGCACCCGAAAAAGAGCAGAAATTTAGATGCCCTGCCCCATTTCTTTGAAAACCGTTTTATTTTGCTTTACCCTGCACTCAAATACTAAAATAATTTCAAAATATGTATATTTATTTTAAACATGAGAAGCATGTTTAAAATAAACATATTTATTATTGTTCGCATAGCTGTCAAACCAAACAAAAACAAATACGTTTATTATCAACACGAATATATTTGAAATAAACGCAACATTATTTTTATTTTAAAAATTGATTTCACATGACTCCAAACATGGAATACATTTGAAATTAACCTAATTTATGTTTGTGGCCAGAACAAACTGAGTTAACGTTTAAATTTACCTCAAATATTTTTGTTTCGACGATAGTTTTTTCTGCGTGCTTCTGTTCCTGGGAGATGGAAAGAGAAGGGTCAAAATTCAAACCTCCAGATAGCACAGTGAAGGATACACGGAAAGACGAAACAACTAAAATTTAAGTCTTTTGCACTCATCTTGAAACCTAAGTGCAACCAGTCAAAATTGAGTTATTTGCGAAGTATACAATTTTAAGTATTTTGCGAAAATGGGGTTTTTGTCGTTAAAAATGATTCTTTAATTGCGTTATAATTTATTTTCAATGTTTACGTTCAGCATGATAAGCAAACATAGAACTTTTATTTATTCTTATAAAAAATGTAACAGATTTAAACAAATTAAAAAAATCATCCGTCGCTGACCAACGGTGCGGTGAGAAGAGTACTTCCTCAAGGAAAACTATTTATCCTTGAGACTGGCTAACATAATACCAGAGTTGAGATTCTATCTCCTGATGAACCTATTCGAAGCACCCGTTGCTGCCTGGAGTTGGAATCACGATTGCACCAGTTCACTGTTTAGGATCATGAAATGAATTTTACGTTAGGTATTTGCACAGAAAATTCACTAAAGGTAACAAACCTGCCTTGCTCCCTAATGTAGGTACTGAGTGAATGGATCCGCACACACAAAGAACAAAAATTGTTTTAATAAAAATTATTCACTTTTATTTTAAAAAGTTTGCAAAACTTCGTACCTTTAATAATTAAAATATTCAAAACATAAATAACATCTTTGGTTTGAAAGTTTTTCTTTCACTTATTAACTCATATATTTAAAAGTTCATTTTTTTAAATAAAAGTTGTACAACTGTCAAAAATACCTTTTCTTAGCAATGTATTTGGCAGCACTGGACCTTTATTTGCCGCTTAAAACGCATGTTCCTGAAAAATAAACAAAACTGCAGATGGAAGCAACCGAGGAGAAAATTACTCTGAATTTACGGTAAAGTCACAGACAAACAGACATAAATCTCGTAAGTTGTTCATCGAACAAGCATTTAACGAACAATTTAAAAGTATCGTAGTTGGTAGCACCGCCACCTGTGGCGCGCACAGTCAATTCCCTTGCGTTTGACGCTTACACACTACCACCATCTGTTCAACGTAGTGCCCACCAAAGTGTACTCAATAGATGGCGGTAATGTTTTAGTGACGATGTTTTACAGTGAGAAATATTCAATGTGTAATGTCTGTTTGTCTGTGGTAAAGTGTTCTCAGGATCATAGAAGTCATCAAGAAGTGGCCAACAATTTATTCTGCTCTTCATAAATATGCCTGGATGTGGTAAGTGTTGAGATCTTCGAATCGGAATCGATTTGAACACCTGGAGGCAAGACGAAACGACTGTTTTCATACAAGCGTTCATAAGAAAAATGATTCGTTTCGACCTCCCCAATGAGGCCCCTGGTATAGCCGATTTTTACCGCACTTCAATTGTTATTTGAAGGAAGGCATCCAGTCGTAGGTTTGGAAATTGCAGCTATTGTTAGTTGTCCTAGCTCGCTATCTACTATCTATATGCAATTTTCACCCCAACAAACAATGATAGCTAAATAAGAGCTTATTCAACCAAAAATATGCTTCTTCAGCTAAAAATAGGCTTATTCAGCTCTTAACAAGTTCGAATTGTTTGTTGGGACACTGCCGTACTCTAACGGAACTATCAACTCTAGACTTTCATCTCCTCCATCTATCGTATAAAAATTACCACTTTAGTCTGTTATTTGAAATTAGCATCTTCAACTAAATAAAAAAAGCTTTTAATTTGAGAGCTGGCTGACTGTCGTTTTGAAAGCACACCGCTTTCTACCAAAAAGAACCAACGCAAACTTTTAACTCTACCAATGGTTTTTTTTAAATTTTATTAACAATTATTTTGTGTGTGTATTGATCCCAGAACTTCACGGTGTTGTATATTTCCATCTATCACCGGAACAGCACATCATATCCTGCCGCTTTGGATCGTATCATGTCTATAAGAAATGGAAATTCCAATAATTGTCTGACCCTGATTTCAAATGTATGACGTAAACTTACAACAAACTAACAGTCCGTTGATCCAGCAGTAATATTATTTTACTATATCGATTCAAAACTGATCCAGCTTCAATTAACTAAATTATCAAACTTTTGCTTCCGCCAGACGACAAAGTGAAACTGAAATAAACATGGCGTACGATGAGATTTTCCATCCAAAACGAAGTGCAATCGCAACACTCGATTTTAGATACTTTCAAATCACGGGCAACGAAACAATTTAAAATTGAGATAAAAGTCTTCAAAAATAAGACTTCTCTCTAAACTGCTGCTTGAGTACAATTAATTTACAGTAAGACGACATCGTTATACTTCAAGCTTAAGTTAAAAGTACTCATCAATGAGAACAAAATTATACCCAAAACATTGGTCTTGCGAGAGTACTTATTTTTAAGTACTATCGATCTCGATTTTGAGTTGTTTCGTCTTTTCGTGTACATTTATTCATACAAACAGGCCGCCATTAAAGCCCTACAGTAAAAGTATGGACGACTGTCACCACAAAACTGAAAAAAGCTGTTCCAATCGAGCAAAGCGGTGCATTTTGACGGTTCGATTGGAACAACTTTTGACAGACGTCCATACTTTTACTGTAGGGCTTTAGCTGCCATTGAGTTCTCCAAGCAGGATCTCACGAACCCTACACTTATAACATAATTTTACACACACTATAGCGTATACCGTCATGTGCACGGTAAGACTCAAACATCCATTTATGAGTAAAAGTGAACCCATTGTCAATAAAAGCGGCACCACTAATTAATGATTAATTCATAATGCCAATTAAGTAGTAACTGTTAGCTACTGTTAGCAGAAACTCATTGTTGTTAAAATAATTTACTCATTAATGAGTAAAACCACCTTTATCAAAAATGGGTTAACCTTAACTCACAAAAGGGTACTTGAATGTTACCGTGCAAGTGTAGGGTTTGTTTTCGTTTTGTTGTTTATTTTTACTTTAGAATGACAGTTCTTACAGCAAACAAAAAATTTCTCACAGCTAACAAAAAATTTCATCTCACTAACACACGCAAATCGCACCAATACGAACCCACCTGGAGAGGACTATTACCCAGCATTGAGTTCTCCAAGCAGGATGTCACGAACACTACACTAATAATATAATTTTACACACACTAGCGTATACTGTCATGTGCACGGTAAGAATCTAACATCCATTTATGAATAAAAGTGAACCCATTGTCGATAAAAGTAACACTACTAATTAATGAGTAATTTATTATGCCAATTAAGTAGTAACTGTAAGCTACAGTTATCAGAAACTCATTGTTGTTGAAATAATTTACTCATTAATTAGTAAAGCCACTTTTATTAAAAATGGGTTAACTTTTACTCATAAAAGGGTATTTGACTGGTACCGTGAAGCGTAGGGTTTGTTTTCGTTTTGTTGTTTATTTTACTTTAGAATGACAGTTCTTTCAGCAAACAAAAAAAATTCTCAAAGCTAACAAAAAATTTCATCTCACTAACACACGCAAATCGCACCAATACAAACCCGCCTAGAGAGGACTATGGAAAGCTGGATATGGACGACCAAATGTAAAATCCTGTGGTAGCCACAGCATAGTTCTGTCAAAACCTCAGCATTTTCATTCAAGATGATTATGTAGAGGGGAGAGTCCCCCTTTCCGATAGAATTGGAGGCTTACACGGATTGACTTTGAACTACGAGAAATTCAAGGAAGAAGTCATTTTTTTACTTTTTCGACATTGGTCCTTATGAACGCTCAGTGTCGTTATCACGAAAATTGCATTTTAACCTGGGGGGGGGGACGTGCTGTCAAATCAGCCTACTGATCATTCTTGTATGAAACTGGTTCCAAACGTAAACAAACGCTGTAAGTTTCTTATGGCTTGTTTACGTTTGGAACCAGTTATGCGAGGCATGCGAGGTAGGCGACGATTGTTCGTATTTGACAGCCACCTCCCCCCCTTGATTTTAACAGATCGATGACCATGACCAACTATACCAGTTTACTACAACAACACAAAAAAGGGGTCATCTTTTAGTCAGTTAATGTTATGTGACCAAACTCACTGTATTCCATCCTTTTATACTTATCTTGAATGTATGGCATTTTTTGTACTAAATTTTTAAAAATGCACATAATCCTTCACACACGTGACCTCCGAAAGATCGTTAAAATTGTAGTCATTTTAAATTTAAGTTCTGCAATAAATCCTACTTAAAATCGTTTCTAAATTAGGCTTTCCAATTTCTCTGCAAGTCTGCCAAAGATGACCAGCAGCATTCCAACCCTGTCCAAAGTCCCAGGAATTCCGGACCTAGACGCAGACTTATGCCTTGTTCAGATTAGAGAGTTGTAACATGTTATTCGATACTTAATACAACCCTGCAACAAAACCGTTCCCATTATGTTTTTGGTGATACAAGTTGACAGCTCGGTGGTTATTTAGGTTTCCAATGTTTTTGTTTACATTGTCTTTGCCGGAAAACCACTTTTTATTTTTTAAATACAAGACTCAATCCAAAAATGGAAATAAATCACGTTGCCATCTTCATGTTTCTTCAAAATGTTGAAAGAAAAATGAGGATCCTCAATGATTTATTTGAGGAATCACTGACGCGGCTTCGGAGGAAACGCTGGGAATGTGCCAATACGATTTTCAAGCTTCGGAAGCAGCAGACGCTCTTAATGGCGGTGGTGGAAAAGAATGCATTAGTTCCTCGGATTTGGGTCAAGGTATTTTTTTCTTCAAATGTGTGTTAGTTAACGAAGATCTATTATTGATATTTCAGGAACGGTCGCAATACTTTTGGGAAGTTGACTGCCAAGTGAATGGAGAAGATTTTTTTAAAGAAAACTTCCGCATGAGCCGTGGTTGCTTCCAAGAGCTTTGCAGTTTGCTGTCTTCGTTACAAAAGGAAACGACCGTCTTCAGAAAGGCAATACCTTTGGAAAAGCGGATCGCTGTGGCTGTTTATGCCCTTGGGTCGTCGTCGGAGTACCGGACGATTGCAAACCTTTTTGGTATCGGCAAATCGACAACGTGCTGTATCTTGCTGGAATTTTGCCAAGCAGTATGGGATACCCTACAACCTAAATTTTTGAACTTTTTCCCGTTAGTGAAGGACACAGTGGAGGACTGCATATCCGGGTTTGAAAAACTTGGATTTCCCCAATGCCTCGGGGCGATTGGTAAGTACATGTTATTTTTATATTTTCTGTAGTGTATTGTGGCATTCAGATGTTGTTGGTTCTGCATATCATCGTGGAGTTCAAGTTTGATGATCAACAAGATCAACCACGACTTATATAAATATATCAGTCAAATATATAGTCAGTTTCATTGAGCCTATGTGCATTTGAATTTTACAGCTTTATACTTCATTATTTGATACATTACGCTCTGTATTTTAGATGGCTGTCATATCGAAGTCCATCCGCATGCCAAAGACGCCGTCGATTACCATAATTATAAAGGGTGGTATTCCACGAACTTGCTGGCTCTAGTTGACCACAGGTAAAATAAAATAAAATTGTTTTTGTGATGTTGTACTCAAGCAAAATTATATATTATTTTTATTTTAGATATCGCTTCCTCTATATCAACGTTGGCAGTCCTGGTCGTTGCAACGATTCGCAGCTGTACGAGTCTTCCAAATTGAAGCAGCAAATTCTGCACAGTCCGGTTTTGCAGCAAATGACACGAATCATTCACGGTGTTCAGGTTCCCATTGTGCTGATCGGAGATTCAGCCTTCCGGCTTTCAGCTAATATGATGAAGCCATACCCTTTCCAGCTACAACAAGAAGATCTAAAGCGTAATTTTAATTATGCACTTTCTAAGTGCCGAAGAGTTGTCGAAAACGCTTTCGGACATCTGAAAGCACGCTTCAGAAGAGTGGGAAAGGGAATTGACAATTCGATGGACAATGTGTCTTTAATCATAAAAAGTAGTTGTGTTCTGCACAACTATTTAAATGAACGAAACGACGATTTAAATATATCATGGTTGTTAAATCAACAAAAGGATGATAACGTTTTGGTTCAACCCACGATGGAAACAAAAATCGGAAACAGAAATGCGAGTGCCGAAGAGATTAGGCATGCTTTAGCTTGTTTCGTAAACGAAATACAACCATCAAGATTAGTGCCGTAGTAAATTATAAACAAAGAACCTCAAAAGAAAATAATTACTATACAATAAACCAAATTTTGCAGCAACAATTATTTCTGGGTGACTCTCCATGCAAACTAAACCCACCCCTTTTTCCCTCTTCAAAATTAAATTCACAATATTACATAGCGCATTTAAAAACTGTATTTAACAAGCAAATCTTAAACGTGACTATTTAAGTAACTTATAAATGCGTCCTTCAGCTCGGCTGAATCCTGCACAAACTTCTCAAGCAGCTCTGTCCGACGTGCTTCCTGGTGCAAGATTTGTTCGTCGATCTCCCGTTGTCGTTTTTCTTGTGTCGTAACCTGATCTTCTAGGATATCCCATCGTTTGAGAATCTCGGCTTGAAAGTTATTTTTCTTCTTCTTTACAGTCTGTGGAGTCGATTGCGAAGTTCCCGAATGTGATGGTCCCGGAGATAGAGTTAGTATCCCGTCTAGGTCAGGTGACCTCATATCGTAATCCAACCATTCTTCCGACTCTACCTGGATTTCTTCGCTTGTTTCTGTATGGTTTTCAATAAATAAACTGTCTTTCATTATTATTTCATACGAATTACCTGGCAGCATTATGCTATCCTCGATCAACGTTTCCAGATTATTAATGGCATGCTTGCCAAGTATATCATGAACTTTTTCATAAAAAGGCCATTCAGATGGGGAACCGCCTGATGGCCCAATTTTTGATTTCTCTTTCCTGTGTTAAATTTCAAAATTATAGGAATAACAACAATATTGCATTAAAAACAATAAACATGCATATTAACTACCGGTATTTAGAGGTGAGGTTGTGTATGCGGACTTTGATGTCTTCCACCGTTGCCTCTACACCGTTTTCCTGGAGAGCCAGCTTCATCTCCTGGAACACATGGTTGTTCCGCCGAGCACCGCGCAGATCATCAATTTTTTCTGCCCATATTTCTACTAATATATCAATGTGCTCTGTTGTCCATCGGTTGCACTTTCTGCGTTTTTGGTCAAATTCCATAATCACACTGAAACGAGACACACACGAGTACGAGAATCGTTCCAATTAATCGGAACGTTCGATTGGATAGGGGACACGGGAAGAGCTGAAGAAAAAACAAAACAAAAGTCAATTATTGCTTGCTTCATTGTAAGAGAAACTAACCTTATGATGCAAGAAGCACGGTGAGCACTTTTTCCAGAACGAAACGATACTTTGCAAATTAAAACAAACGAAAGAATTTAATAAATTTTTCTCGAGCAAAAGAACATCGGAACCCCCTACAAAATGTTTGTTGACAGCGAACGCGATGATGATGCATAATGAGATGTCAAATCTATTGCAGGGCTGCGATGAAGCGCGATTTTAGATCTGATTCGAGAAGGTCGAACCCCATTTTAAACATGTTATTCAGAATATCTAGTTACAAGCAGAAGGTACAGAGTTGTCAAAATCGTATGGGAATAACACGTTTTAAAAACATGATACAGCGCTTGTATCATGAAAAGGGCTTGAAACATGTTACAAGTCCATAGTGTGAACATCATATTATCTTTAGTTTTGAAAGACACCCAGAATGCTTTTCAGGTAATTTTCAATTTTCACATCCTAAAAAATTGTCTAAAACACTTTTTCAAATTACACAGTCCCTAATCAAAACTCGCAAAGATCTCCGGAGCTCCCAACTGGAAGCTAAAATTAACAAAGATCAGCTCCAGTCCGCAAGACAACGGCTGGAATCGAACGACGGAGGCGGCATTCCATCCGATTGGAATCGATTTTCTAAAAGCTTGAATAACATCATCAAAGTAGTAAGCGAACGGAAGGATATCGTAGAATATGAGCAAACCATCAGAAACTTTTCCGAAGAAAATGAAAGCTTGAAGAAGCAAATTAACAGCTTGGCAACCAATCACGAGAAAGCCCTTGAGAAGCAAAAAAATGACCTCAAGAAGCAATTGGACAAAGAGCTGGCTCAACATTCCAAGCAAATATCGGAGCTAACTATCGACAAGGAACTGGCTGCTTCGGAGGCTTCGATCAAGTACGATCAGTTGCAATCGCGGCTGGAACGGTTGAACTCGGAAAACGAAGATCGCTGCAAAGCGATTGTGGCGCAATACGAGAAGCTAGTTCAGTCACTATCGGACCAGAAGCACAAGCTAAGGGAGGAAAATATGGCCTTGCAGAGGCGGGAAGTGGAACTGCGTGATCAATTCGAACACCTGCAGAATCACTCGACTGACTTTCTGCTGGGAATGGGTCGCAGGATTTCCCCTATCGGTGGTAGTCAACGCTATGCTGAGGTTGTGGAAACGGTTCCTCTACTGGGATCCAGGGTGGAGAATAGCAGTCAACAGTCTTCGCAAATGAAGGGAATTGATCGAGGTGAGACAAGTGTACCGGAGACGGTAGAAGTGAGCTCTAGCAGCAGCAGCAACAGCTATAGGGCAAAAAATCACGGCAGCCCGCAACATCCTGGAGTTGGTGGCCACGTGGCGAAGCCACGCAAGAAGAGAAAGCTCTTCAATCAGATCAGCAGCGAATGATCGTGTTCGTTTCAATTAAATGAACTTTCTTTCCTTTCATAAATGATCAAGGACACCTTCCTGTTTTTATTTATTCAAATATTAAATAACCTTCCTCTAAACAATTTTATTGACTTTCTAAAACTAGTTTTTTTTTCCGTTCGCATATTTACACAGTGTACCTTCGTAACAACAATTATTAGCACAATATATCTTGTCTTAAATACATTCTTCCTTATCCTAGGAAAAGGGATTCTATCTCAGTATTTATTTGGTTATTAAATAAATTGAGCATTTTTCGAGAGTGGAGCGATTGCTACAATAATAGTAGGTACAGAAGAAGCAATGTTGATGCAATGTAGAGGGAAGAAAGCGCTCTGGAATGCCGCGTTCATTTCGCAATGTACCGGTCCAGGTTGTCCCAGTTGCAGGAGTAGTCGATCTGCAACAGGCCCTTCTTGCTAAGACTGAAATGTTGCGGTGTGTAACATGTGTTAGCGTTGGTGGCCGCGATCGATACAGCAGTGGACGGATCCACAGTTGGAGGGATGCCAATCTGGCTGGGTCGTCTCGCCATGCTCATGCTAACTACGCTGGCGCTGCGGGAACGTCGGCGCATCGGACTCTGGCGGCTGGTGACGTACAGTGGCACATGTTCGACCTCTTGGCGGACGCACTCCAGGCAATCGTTCAGCGAGTAGTAATTTCCGCTGGGCGGAATAAGGCTTGGCTGCTCCAGCAGGGGAATGGGGTGGCTGTGGTGAGGGGGCACGGGAGGGGGAAGAGGCATATAGCAACAGCTGGGTTCATAGTAATCGTAGGACGGGGGACCGGGGAATTCAAGCTGGGGCACTGGCTTCGGTAGAACGATTGGCCGTCGGTTGGTGGCAGTCTTGCCAAAGCCAGGAGTGTGCAATCGCAGGGCTGACATGGAACTGTCGCACGAGCTGGGGTGTTCTGTGGATGATGTTTCCAGGTCTAAAATGAGACGAAGAAACAGAAAAACGGTAGTTAGTATATGTGTAGTTTAAAACTAATTGACGGTTGGGTCGTCATTCTTCAGCATCGCTTTGGCATACCTCCCTGGAGTCGGTCATTCGAGAGCCCAGTTGAACTTGTTTTGGATCAGTCGTAAGAAAAGAGTTACATAGTTGTTGAATATAGCTGTCTGTCTTTATTTTTAACGCATATGACGGAAATAGATTCCATACGACGAAGTAGTGCTCTATTTAAAGAGCAGCTGATTTAAAATTTTCAAAAAATGATGTTCCAGCTGATTATCTATCAACTTTGTTTAAATATGTATTTTGAAAAGGCGTGATAAAACGTGATTGGTAACATTACTCCAGCACGTGAGTTTTCACAGTTTCCTGCTCTGGAATTTGCAAGTTAATCGCCTATCAGTATGCAACAATGTGAACACAAGGCCGCCCTTGTATAGTGCACGGCCGAAGAGATCAACTCAAAATTGAGTGATTTTTCATTCAAACCCGCAAAAACATGGATATTCATACACGGCGAATGAGAACAACCCAAGTATGAGTTTAGCTTACTCATACATCACATAAAGTTCAGGAACTCAACGATGAGCAAATTTGCCTCCTGTTTTCCAGATTTGTCCAGGTTTGTCCAGAAAAAAATCCCGAATATGAGAAAAGTAAAGATTGGATTCACTCAGTCTATTGGTACTGCTCCTAGACTGTGTAAAATTTTCGTTGATTTTTGAGGTTTACACTTTCTGCGATTATGAGTATGCTAAACTAAAATTTGGGTCATTCTCATTCGCCTCGCCGTGTGCACTGAGCAAAATTTTACTCGTTTTTCCTTAAAAATCAGTTCGAATGTATAATCGATGAAAATTTTACTCATTCTAGGAGCACATATATATACTAGAAATACTCAGAGGGAGAGATGGGCGGAGAAAACAAAAAGAAATTTTTCTGCAGGGCTTTATGTATCAAATATCTGGCACTCCTTCTTAAAACGTACCGTTTACATGACTTTTCATTTCAATTCGATGTGAGTGTAGTGCAAAAATGAAGTGCATCACGGAGTTTTGCCCAAATCGTGGGGGCGTTAAAGCCACGCAATTTAAAAACGTTAGCTTTTTCCTAAGCGGAAGAGGGACAATAGGGGGCCTTTTATGAACCAATTTTCTGTCAAACGCAAACCAGCGCAGCAGGAAACTGTGTTTTGTGTAGGAATAGGAATTTGAGCGGAGTTCTCTCTGTTTATACTCTTTAGTATGACGCGCTTGACATAGATGGCCCACAGCGACTCACGAAGAGCTCCTTCTATGGATGCTCCAATGGCCTACAGCACGCTGCTTGCAGGCAGCCTTTCGTTGTGTACTGGAGAACAATGTTCAATGCCACGTGTCGAAAGCACTGCTGCTGCTGCTGCTGCTGCTGATGCCGACGATCGGACACCACCACACACGGTGATTGGAACTGAATCCGATCAGCGGTTTAGGCCAGCTTTGAAATCTGTGTTAGGGAAATCGCTTTTCGCAGGCAATCGGTGATAATTTTAACTATCACAGCGACAGTTGCACATCCGTGCAATTTTCAATAGGGTTATTTCGAAAAATAAGAATGTCTTAAAATAAACAGATGGGTAGACATATTTCTGATCGATTGGTGATAAAATTATTGAAATTGGTCTAGGGGCAGCTGAGTTATCAACTTTCCAAATCTTTCATAATTTTGTGATATGTTCCATTTTCTGTTGTCACAAAGTGTACCCCCATATAGAAATCACAGACATAGTCCTACGTCAAAATAAAAAAAAAAAATCACTTCGCTTTGTGTATACTACCTTAATGCATGAAAAAATAGAAATGTAAGCGAAAAATATGCGATCCACAAAATTCGATTTCATTGGATCGCATCTCTTTATAGCGAAGTGAGTAGAGAATTTGAAAAATTTGAAAACAACATCGTAAACAACTTTTGACGAGATTTAACATGCATTACATTGCATGAACTTGCAATACGGTGTACAAACTCCTATACATATCCACTATTTGGCATATATAGAACGTACGATTGTTAAGGTGGCACTCTTGCCTCACCAGACCCTACTGGCCTAATCTAAAAAAAAAAACGTCTTGATGAAGCAGATTTCAAAATTCTGCACTACGTGGTATGGGAGAGAAGTTTTAAAACTCTTATATTTTTAGAATTAAGTTCTTTACATTAATTTGATTGTTACGTCTATTGCGTAGTTCTTAAGTGTTTATCACCCGTAGAATCAACGAAAAAAAAAAAAATAATAAAAGCTTTATTTGAGAAATAGAAGCATTTTCAGATTTCGCTCCCATACCGTGTAAAATTTTGAAATCTGCATCATCAACATGTTTTTCAAGATAATCCCGAGAGAAGAAGCCCGAAGTTAGTCCGAAGTATATAGTATGAGGTAATAAAACCGAAATTCACCAAATGCAGCTACAAGCTAGGCTTGTCCTTAGTTTATAAGGATCAAGCAACAGCGATGTTGGTAAAGGAAGTGACGAACGTTCTTACCCCTTGGGAAAATGCAGAACTTTTTGCCCTGGACGGGAAGGAGGTCCCTCGTCCAAATCCGGACGAGGGACCTCCTTCCCGTCCAGGGCAACAAATTCTGCATTTTCCCAAGGGGTAACCGTTCCACGCATTCTTCCCCCTAAGTTCTGAATTCAGCGATGAGAGGTTTAAGGGACTCATCGAGAGTCAAAATGACGACTTAAGCACGAAAGGCTAAATCGTTGCAACGTAAATAAACATGCCGAATGGACACTAAACGTTGATTCAAGCTCGCTTAAGACACTAGCGGAACGTAACTTGGTGCTGAACTTCCGTTTTGGTGAAACGCAGCTCAGGAAAATCAAAACTCGAGAATCAAACGATGGGTCTATCGCTCGCTCTAAAGGCAAAAATGAGCGAACCAATAAACAAAACGAAACCCATTAAGTTCCTGCAAGCGAACCTCCACCATGCAATTGCAAAAGGTGCTTCAGCTGTATTGAGTCGGAGGTTCAAAAAGGAGGAGCTGGACATGGCACTCATTCAAGAGCCATGGTCCAATAGAGGAAAAATACACGGTATCGACATAAAAGCATGTAAGTTATACTATGATGAAAAGCAAAGTTCACCCAGAACTGCTATTCTAGTTAGTAAAACATTGAATTGCTACCCTATTTCAGAATTCATCAAACGGGACATCGTCGCAGTCGCAGCCAACCACCAGGGGAAAACCGATATAGTAGTTGCTTCGGCTTATTTTCCTGGTGATGCTCCGGAGATCGCATAGTCGCAGAGAATTGTGTGATTTGTCACCTTCTGCATTTAGGGGATCCTAGCAAAACAAACTGGGATCATTATGCACAGTGCTTGAATTCTGACATATTTACAAATGATATTAAAATTGAATCGATTCAACAGTTGGAATCATTTTCTAAAAGGTTAAACGAAAGGATTATCAGTTCTTTCAACAGTAGTTGTCCTATTAAGCGGTCCTCCTATAGCAGAGATGTACCGTGGTGGAATTCGAATTTGGAACGCCTTCGGAAAACTTTGTCTAGGGTGCGGCGCATCACTCGCGTCAATTCCGAGGCCCCATCACTGCAGGAGATTGAAGCAGCTATCCGAAGCATGAAATCCAACAAGGCTCCAGGGGTCGATCGCATATCAGCAGAGATGCTCAAAGCTGACCCCATGCTATCCGCACAAATGTTGCATCAACTATTCTGTAATATCTGGGACACCGCGACTTTTCCGGCCGACTGGATGCAGGGCATCTTAGTAAAGGTCCCAAAGAAGGGGGATCTGACTGTGTGCGACAATTGGCGAGGCATCATGTTACTGTATATTGTTCTCAAAGTTCTGTGCAAAGTTATCCTGAATCGGATACAGGAGAAGATCGACGCGACTCTCCGACGGCAGCAGGCAGGATTCCGTGCCGGAAGATCTTGTGTGGACCATATTGTCACGCTCCGCATCATCCTGGAGCAGGTCAATGTATTCCAAGAGTCCCTTTATTTGGTATTCATTGACTACGAAAAAGCTTTCGACCGTCTCAATCACGAGAATCTGTGGGGCGCCCTGACACACAAGGGAGTCCCGGATAAAATCGTCAACCTCATCGAAGCGCAGTGTGAGGCTTTCACGTGCAGAGTTCTGCATAACGGCGCCTTGTCCGACCCTATCCGGGCAGTCGCTGGTGTGAGACAAGGATGTATACTATCACCGCTACTGTTTCTCATCGTAATCGACGAGATCATGGTAGGTGCAATTGACCGTGTACCGAACCGTGGGCTGCTTTGGCAGCCTATCACCATGGAGTATCTCAACGACTTCGATTTGGCTGATGATGTTGCTCTACTAGCACAACGGCGCTCTGATATGCAGAGTAAGCTCAATGACCTAGCCGAACGCTCCTCTGCGGCGGGTCTCACCATCAACGTCAACAAGACCAAATCGTTGGATATCAACACGGGCAACCCTTCCAACTTTACGGTAGCGGAGCAAGCAGTGGAGAAGGTCAAAAGTTTCCAATATCTTGGCAGCCAAATAGCGTCAGACGGCGGGACCAAGAGCGACATAGGTGCACGAATCAAGAAGGCTAGGGCTGCCTTTGCGAGTTTACAAAACGTATGGAGATCCAACCAGATAAGTCAACGCACCAAAATCCGAATTTTCAACTCGAACTTGAAATCTGTGTTGTTATATGCCAGTGAGACGTGGTGTGTATCAGCGGAGAACACTCAAAAGCTGCAGGTCTTCAGGGTCGGCCACACACTTCGACGGGGCGGAAACGAAATCTGCAAGCAAGCGCTGGATTGGAATCCGGCAGGACATCGCAGCAGAGGCAGACCCAGGGGCTCATGGCGGCGGAGTCTCAATAAGGAAATTAAGCAAGTCGATAGGAATCTGACCTGGGCCCAGATCAAGGCAAAAGCGAGCAGCCGCCCAGGATGGAAGTCTTTCACGTTGGCCCTT